CTCATTAGCTGGTTGATTGCGGACCATGGCAACGGGTAAACGCAAAGAAGCAATCGGCTCCTCCGAATATTTAACAACGCCCACCCGCCCCCTGATATTAAATAGTTCGGGCCCCGAAAACACGTGTGAAATTAGGCCGGGATTTAATGAAGGAATTAGATAGACCTCCCTTCAGAACCTTTTGAAATCCTTAGAAATCTGGCTGAACAGGTTTCAACATCTACTTTAGATCCATTCAAAAGCTAATCGGAAGAAGCTATTGAACTCTAACTGAAATATTTCAGTCATCTAATTAAAGCACGTTCGCCCGCCATCTATTTAAAACTCCTATGAAGATCCTAGGCAAATCAATTGAACATCTAGTTGAAGCCGACTAAAAATTCAATCAAAGCCAATGAAATCTAATGAAAACCTATTAAGCATCTAGTTGAAACTCCGCTCAACAGCCTGTTAAAACCTACACAAATCTACTTAAGGGTCGAGCAAGATCTCCTTAAAGCCCAATTTAAATCAACCGAAAATCAAATCAAAACAAATTGAGATCCAGTTGAAATCTATTGAATTCTCATCGAAACCGATGAGAACCTGATGTAGCTCAAGCAAAGCCGAGGTCAGATTTTGCATGAATTCCTTCATAGAAATCAAAGATCCAATCAAAAACCTGGGAAATGAAGGGGGTCCCTACTTAGGTTTGATTCCTTATTGTAACCTCTCTTATGAACTCAGAGCCTCCTTCATGTCATTGTTGGGTGTGCAATAGCAATTTTGCCCTCTGAACGTGCTCTCCAGATTTTTTGGGCCCTGGATTATTGTATGGAGATAGGGGGCTTCATTATTGTCAAGATTGGCTCCTTGAGTTTCATACCATCTTGAATATGCACCGATTGTCCAGCTTCTCCACCAAGTGTGTTCCAATTTTTCACGGAATGTGTAGCGCATGGGTCGGCATGTATCATGCAGCCAGCAACCGTAGCCTGGCGTCTTACTCAGGTGGGCTTCAAGCATGGGAGTAGACCATCCTGCCCTAACCCCACAAATCCCTGAAGCATAGCATGAATATGTTGGGTTTATATCTGTTGCTTGTCTTCAAGCTGTCTTTATTACACCATCTTAACCACACCTCATGTTAACCAAGAAGGAGAAAGCCCCTTGGCCTGCACAACCTGTCTCAAACTTTATGACTCTTCGGGGAATGCTCAGAGTTCAATTGCCATTCCCATATACCATTCTCGACGTTGAAGACTTCACTTATGCGAGCTCATTTTAACGCAGTCTTTGCACCGCTGACAGGCAGCCTTCAGCCCCTCAACATTTTCAGGCCGTCAGGTTTGATTTCTTTTCTTCAACCTCACAGTCCATGCTTCAGTCGAAAGGCCGAGAAATCGGCGTGATGATTTAGCTGAAGCCTTTGTTTCCCACTCCGAACCTCAAGCCCTTCAACTACAGCACTCTTCGCGCAAACTCTTGCCCGAGCTCCAAAGTTGATTCTACATGCGTTCTCTGTTAACATCATATACGGGTGGTTGTCGAAATTATGGTCCGTTTTTGGGTACCCGAAATATTAGGTGCCGTATTATAATAGGGATCGAAAAAGGGACAACAATTTTGACAACCACCGATATTGACCCTGAGCGGCTTATCTGGTAAATTCTATGTGCGAGAGGTGGTGTGCCCATCTCTCGCCCCGCCCCAGCGCTGCATGCATTCGGCTGCTCGTGGCCACACCGGTGCTTGGACGACGCGAGTCTGATGAACTCCAAAGTACACCCTACATGACCAACACCCTGACCTGAATGAATCAAGACCCTTCAAGGCGTTGCGTTGTTTCGCAGTGTGCTCTGCCTGGATGTACTGCAGGTGCCTGAGTAATTTCAACTGACAGTCCCAAAAATCAGTATTGTGAAGTTTTAGGCCCCAACCTGAGCATCCCCATTGTTGGTAGTGATGGAGCTAGAAGCCAATGTAAGCCACTAGTGCCAAACCATATTCTTTTACACAGTTGTCAAAGAGGGCTCCATCCTTAATTCTTCCAGTCCTCGCAGCAACCATCAAGTAACCTGTGCCCATACCTGGTACATGTTGGGCTGTGCTAGATCCGAAGTACTACGTTGCCGCCCTCAACCCTAGATGATGAGTTTGTAGACGGTCAGAGGGTGGGCCCAGCGTTCCGTCTTCTTGCTCTATTCTACAAAGTACTTTGTACCCACCCCTGTGCTGCCTCAGGCCTCCGGATCCTGGGTCACAGCGCTGTTCTGATATAGAAGCTTGAATACATAATCACGGTTACTATATTCCTTGTCACGACAATACAGCCTACCCCAAGATGACGCCTTTTTATCTAGGCTTTGCATGTCGGCTTGGATGAAAGTTGAACACAGCCCGAGGCTTCAAAATCTGACCTTAAATCCGACCGAACATACCCCAAGTGCGCAGCGTTTGAATGTTAACCCTGACCCTCCACCGGCGGAACCTTTCGTGGAGGGCAGGTTTAGCATTCGGTCTAGGCACCAGGTGCCCGAGGTTGCGGGTGGGTTCCTATGAGCCCCTGGCAGAGGGGACGGGAGTCTGTTAAAGAGAGGTATCTGCTTGCAACACGAGGATTACACTGCGACTACATGTAAAGCTGAGTGTAGATTCGAGCACCTTGATTTTCAATAGAACGCCTAAGTTTACCATGTTCTAGGATCACTGGCCTCCTATGCATTCCAGGTACGGCTGTTTTTGTCGCGTCATCGCTTGTACATCTTGTTCCGATGTCTGTGCAGACAGTGCTTTTTTTGGGGGTGTTCCTCAAAAGCGAGGTAGCCCAAGTATACCCCTAGATACCCAACCTGTAATCCCCCTAAACGGGCTTGCAGGGGTTACCCCAGTTTTAGGTAGTTACTAGGTCCCATGGGCCTCCAACAAGGCCCTAGGAAGGCTTAGGAAATATAGCAAGGTTGTGGGGGTCCTTCTAGAGGAAGCTATAGCAAAATAATCCAGAGAAGCAACAAGAATATGCAAAAGCATTCGACATCGAATCGGCATCTCTTATTGGTGTTAATGCGGAACGTTTGCTACACCTCTTTGCTTCTCATTCTCTAGCATTGTCAAAAGAATGCTGCCTGCGTTGCGTGCTTACGCAGTGCTTTTTACTGCGCTCGTAATATGGGCAAAGCTGTGCTTCAGATCCTAAATTACCAACCTGCCATGTGCCCAAACAACGTTGGCAATTCTTTACGGACCTAGTACGTGCAGTCAATCGCCTGCTACCTATGCAATGACCACGCTTCAAGTACAGGTCCTAGAATATATTTCGTAGCCTCAGTACCGCAGGCAAATCTTAAATGCGGGTAAGGCAGCAGCTGTTCTCACGGAATTCGTTTGGTTTGGGGCTTTTTTCATTCAGAGGTACTGTGGTCATCGTTGACAAGGTAGTCCATATCTTCTGTGCGTCGGCGTGGGAACCTACGTCATGAGTCAGGCCATTTGTCGGTTTCGCTTGCGACAGGGGCTTGCAAATAGCAGCGACGGCGATCTATCGCCTCAGTTGCCTGCAAGTCCTGGTTCGACGCAGCAAACCAATATTCTTTAATATTAATCCAAGACACGATGCGGGGAGGTTCGGAATTGTGCGACATATGCTATGTGGGCAACCCGCAGCATCAGCCGCGCATTCATAGAACCTTGACTCAGTATCCGTGAAGCAAACTATACCGCAATGCCCGTACTGCTAGCTTCGCCCTCCTAAAATCGGAGGCGTTCCTTCGGAGACTGCTAGGGCTGCTAAGGATCCAAACCTTCGGGAAAAGCAGGAGCCTGTGCACTTCTTGTTGCCTAAACCCTATAAACTCTATGAGCCCTAAGCCCTAAACCCTTCCATCATGAACTTGCAGTAGATCCCAGGTAGTCTAGACCTCATCGCGGGTAAAGCACTTAATTGCGACTAGGCTTAGCTGATCACAAAAGTCCGGACCTATCCCTGCAAGAACCACTGGTAGCATCTCGCCATGGAGGAAGCAGGAAACAGACTGTTTGCTGTTCCAAGGGTTTAGGGGCCAGGGGGTCTACGTAGCTACATGGTATGTACTTGATACACCAACATGGACTCTGTGGGGTTGATGTTTGCGGCTCGGTTTGCTTTAGGTGCAGTTGCTTCTCCATCTTATATGCGGCAATGGAGCGCATCTAGATAGTTTGCTATAATGCAATCCTAGACCATAAAGCCGAAACCCTAAACCGCGTGCACAGATAGCTCTTGAGAAGGGGCTTGATTTGTCCATGATGCCCAGATGTTGGTCTGGCGTTTGATCCTGCTCCTGTTCCTTTTCAATCTCCTGCTGCTGCTTCTGCTACTGCTACTGCCACTCCTAGCCCCGCTCCTACTCCTACTCCTCCTATTGACAATAACAACAATAACAGTGTTATACTGATAAGAATACTGCGGCTAGCGCAACCTGCGCAGACATTTTCCACGTTCATCATTCTTCCTGCCATTCGGTCATGCACAGCAACACCCACTATTCTGTTTTGATGTTTTGGACGTATTCCGTTCCCTTACCGCTGCCTCCATCTGCCTACAGTTAAGGGGGTATACGGGATACATAGTAATTTGGAGTCAAGGGGTTGGAACTCGCAAGTTGTAGGGAAACCGAATCCACAGATGCACCCCTAAGACTTGAAAACCAAAGCCTGAAACCCAAACCCGGAGCCCGAACTCCTGAACTACACACCCTGTAATTACATGCAGGCCATGCTTCCTATACCTTGACGCAAGTAAGACGAAATGTCACTCGTGACTGCTCCTTGCTGTGCTCAATCACATTCGCATTTATCCAAGTCGCTGTCATGGGACGGGGGGTTTCTCAAAGCTAGGGTGGCTCAATATGTCCGGAGTAACGTGTACACACAACTCAAAAGAAGCTTCCCACCCCATAATTTGAAAAAGCTCTACACATATAACCAGCTAAGATGGCTCCAGGTCTTGCAACCTTCAACCCTAAACCATGCGGCGGGGCGAGGAGAATGCAGTGGAGCGGCGAGAGCTATCCGAGGTGACGCAGGTGGCCATTTCAAACTGCACTAGGGCCGGGCAGCTGGTGGAGACTTAATGTGAGATAAGACTTTATTGTCGACTGGTGGTGAGTGCATATGAGACGATACATAACAACCCTAGGTCACGTACGGCTCAGGCGTAGAGTTTCTCAAAGTCAGGTGCCCCTTGCCTGGGTCATTTGCGGGCCCCTTGATTGTAAGAATCCAAAACCGGGTAAGCACCCATACCTGATGCAAAGACAATTGCAATCCCCAAAAGTTTGTTATGCCGCTTACAGGGACTGGATCCTGAACCCTGTAACCCTGAGCCCGTGATCCAAATGAGAATGCTCGAAGGCTTCTTCCTAAGCACCCCCACAAGGGTTTAGGGGGTTTAGGGGAAGATCCCATTTTGCCTTCGTAGACGCCTTCTTGCGACCTACCTTGGCATGATAGGATTACGTTAGCAGGTTATAACTGTAGGGATCCATTCCCAAAATGAGACAAGACGTTTTGAAATCTGCAGACTACACACCCACAGCATGAACTTGTACAAGCCCTTTACCCTGCTAAACCCTAGACTAGACTAGACCATAAACCAAGCATGTTAGGTACTGAAGGAGCAGATTGCCAAGCTGCGTGGGAAAGGCCTGGGACATGAAACTTTCTTCCAAGAAATACTCGCTTCCAAGGAATGTGGGTCCTTTTCTCGGCTGGTTCCTATAGTGAGGATCTGTGCTCGTTTGAGCATTTATCTAACCATCCCCGGACTGATTTTGGATTTTGTTCCTCCCGCATGTTCTCGCGCGCAAGGAAACCTTCGATCTCTGGGCGTGTCTCGGGTTTAAGTGCGCTCGCAGCCTGCTGTACAACCGAAGTAGGTGCTCGCTTCACGAAGGCTACGCCGCATTAAGGCTCACCTCTTTCTCTGGGGCTGTGAGTGTATAAGCACCCTAGCAATTGACCCAACACAGCGTTAGGTCAGCCTTCGGGATTCTGGACAGTTGGTAGGGTACTGTTTTCCATTTGAGATACGGACTAAACTTAGGTTGGGGTGGACCTTTAGGGGACTATGACTATATAGGGTTTTGGGGGGCACCTACTAAGGGATATACTACAAATTTAGTCCAGGCTCATACATGGATGCACGGCGGATCGTTTTCTCTCTTGGGAGGGGAGTGACTCCGCGTTTCCTGTTTCGGCACCAACCGCTGAAACCTAGAATCACGCACGAATTTGACGCAAACGTCCTCCCCAGAGCTCCCTATAATGTACTTCCTTTGTTGCTCCTGCATTCTAAGCGCTGCAAATCTTGACGCTGCCAGAAATGTGACTTTCTCAAATTAGAGTCGGACATGATCCCTAGTAGGGACCCCACCATCTCGTTATAGGCCTCAGATATCACAAGAGCGCGCTGGCAATGTGAGAAGCCGCCCCAAACAGCCATGTGAGGCCAGGCTACCTTTGGCCAAGCCGTGCGGAGCCCAGCGGGATTATATTCAGGGCTCCCGGAAGTTCTAGATGCACATGGGAGTTTCCAAAAGACGGATATAAGCACCAAACACGTTGAACTTGTAATCCTCACTATACAGTTTAGGTTCTACAAGTGCAAGACGTCCACATCAGCGGTGTCTGAAAAAAGGCTTGCATAGAAGTCATGCCTGTAGGTCTCACATATACGTACACACATGGGTTCAAGAACAGCAGATGTGCTGCTATAGCCTGACCGGGCAGTGCAGCCATATATCCTTTTCTTGCTGTGGTCGAAGGTTGCTAACAGAACTAACCAACACTTGCTTGAGTTTAGGCGAAGGCCCTGCTTGCAGGCACGGGGCAGCTGTCCAGATGGGGATGGGGCTTCGGCCTTCAGGTACAGGGAAAGGATCCACAAGACAGGGTCACGGCATGGTGGGATTCGAAGGGCAAGCATCGTAGCAACTAACGATAAAACGTCAGGCAGGCTAAGATTGTGGTCTGGATTCGCCTGAAGGCCTTAACATATGAAAGTTAAGGCTTAAGTTTCATCGGCCCATTGAGTTTTTGGTGGGTTCCTCTACCTGAAAGCTGCTGTTTCAAAGAACCCTCAAGTGGGGCGGGCAGAAGATGGCAGAAGTATGACATGCGTGGTGATGATGAACCCTAAGCCCTGAGGGATTGGAGTCTAGGGCTTGGGATCTACGTTGAGGAGCCCTGGGGTTAACAAGCAGTAGGGAAGCACCGACAGCTGGGTACAACATGGCTGGTGACCTCTTGTAACATGGTATATAGCCTAACTCCAGGTTCCCTACTCGGAGGGTCACGAGGACTTAGTAAGTAGGTTAACAATGGGGATAACTGGGGTTACTATATGGGTTCTCGGGATCATTAACCTACTTATGAAATCTCTCTGACCTCTTCAAGTAGAAGCATTTTTATGTACCCCCTGCAGACCACACACAAGCCTACCAAACTCGAGGATGCCAGCAGATAGTCCTTGGCATTCTGGGTTCCAGGTGCATTGCGTTCTAGCTCCACATCCGCAAATCTTGAGACGTCACCTAAGCGTAATGATGCCCGAAAGCTGTGACTGGGACTACGGAAAGCATGAAGATATAATAGTCCCCCTTAAGGAGATAGAATATGGCCTTGGATATATTAGAATAAGATCCCCAGATACCCCATATTCTACCTGCAGGGACTATAATACTTCTTGATACTCTCCGCAGTATTCTTCTGCTTGGGCCCGCAGGGCCCTCAGCCTGCCCTTACAAGCGCGCCCTGCAGCCAGTACCTGGCCCAAACTAACACGGAGCCTGGAAGGGTTTATTGTTTAGGGTCCCTTGTAGATCCTTCTGAAAGAGCTCTATGTATGGGAACCCAAACCACTAGGAGCCCAAAGCTCCTGAAACTGCAAGTCCTAGACTCTGCTCCTTTTGGGGTTGAGGGTTTTAGACATTCCAAATCCTGCATGACCCTTTTGATAGGTCATTTCCTCTCATTCCCGAGGTTCTTGGCAATTGCTTACGGGGATGCAGGATACATGAAATCCTGAACCCCAGATCCTATACCCTACATCCGGAACCCCAAAGTCTAAACCCCCAAATCTTGAATCCTACATGGTAGACAAATCGTAACTGCTAAACCCTAAATCCAGACCCAGAAAGCTATAGAGCTGAGGCCATTCGAGGAGGTGGCTGAGGCCCGAAGAAAGATTTGTGCTCGAAGGGGGAGTGGTGAAGGGCACACAAGGACTACATTATAGTAGCTTCCATCTTCTTTTCCATTATCCTGATATTGCCCCAATAGATAATTCACCTAAGGCATGAACCCCAAAGTCTGTACATGAACCCCAAAGTCTGTCGAATCTTGGCCTTTTGACTGTTTTGTTTTGCATGTGTTTTGCCTACTTGAAGCTCTCTGGGGGCCCAGGTATTGTAAAGGGTGGATTATCCCAACTCCGCCTCAAGCACCAGCAAGCCACAGGCTTATAGTCCCCCTTAAGTAGATAGAATATGGGTATATGGGGATCTCATTATATTATACCCAAAGCCATATTCTATCTACTTAAGGGGGACTTTAGTTAGTTGTGGCGTCCAAGTATTGCTGCTTAGGGCTTAGGGTTGACTGCTTCAGAAGTTTCAGGGGTTCAGGGCTTAGTGCGCGTCCATGTACCCATTTAGCTAGCAGCCATTGTCACTCTTAACCCCTACACCCTAAACCCTAAACGCTACAAAAAGATTAAGCCCAACATCCTAAACTTGGAGGCCCATGGGATTTAGTAACTACGTATAACTAGGCTTATAACCCTACTTATCCCCCGAAAGGGGCTTATAGGGGTCACCCCAATTGTAAGTAGGGTAATAATCCCAGTTAGAAGTAGTTACTATTTCCCATGGGCCTCCAGGTACCAATCTCTACTTGTATGTCCGAAGCAGCAAGCTTGGGAACTCTAAAGCCCCAAACTCTAAACCCTTAATCCTAAATTTTGACGAGAATATTATGTAGTTGAGTTTCAGACACTGCTGCGAAATCAAGATCACGAATCCTGCCTGGAGAAGTTGGGCCCTTCAATACCTACACCTAATCCCGGAAACTTAATCCCCACATCCTCAAACCCGAAACCCGAAAGCCTAAGCTCAGCAGGGTACAAAAAAACCTACGTCCAAATTCTAGACTACTTGGAGATGGGACTTGGCAATGCTTTATAATGGGGGTTATAACCCCGCCTATAATCCCCCTAAAGCAGTCATAAGAAGGGGTTATAAATTATCGTACCCCATACTTGTGACTGGGACAACCCCTGTGAGCCCATGTAGGGGGATTATAAGTAGGGCTTTACGCCCAACTATAAGTACTTGCTAAGTCCCGGTGGCCCTCCAAGTAGACTACCATCACCAATGCTATTTACCATTTCTACTGCTGTTACTAATTACTACTTGCAATCCCCAAAGTAAGTAAAAGCATGGCCCAAACACCAAACCAGTTGTCAAAAAGGTGATGAATCTACATGCTCTGGAGGTCCAGGTGCTGTCGTTGCCTATTACTATAGACAGTTTCCCTAAACCCCAAACCCTAAACCTAGAAATTTTCCCTAAACCTTAAACCCTAAACCTAGAAAGTTTCCCTGAACCCTAAACCCTAAACCCTGGGCAGGATACGAGATTCCCACATGAAATGTGCCAGCTTTGCCCTGCCTGGGATGTCCGAGCAAAGAGTGAACCTCTCGACTCGTAAACCTCAAGGAGGATAGGGGTTCGATATGGTTTCAGGGTTTTGGGTTTAGGGATTATGCAGTTACACAGATATATAAGTTGTTATGCAGGGATGCATATGGCTCGACCCAGAACCCTTAAGCTTGTCACCCTAATAACTTCTTAACCTCATACCCGAACCCTAAGTCTGCAGGTTTTTGGTTGCAGGCCTGTAAACCCTAAAGTTAAAGCTCAAATCCGACACCAAAACCACTCAACCCTAAACCTTTTCCACCTGTACGCTGAACCTTTTCGGCGTGGGCATGAGGTTAGTCATATAGAGGCCTGAATGGCCTGGGTTGCTGTCAAGGAGCTTAATCCAAGTTACCATAAGTTGGGTATATAGTAAATGATAGGGTTTCCTTATTTTAGGGACTTAATTTACGTTCCTCAACAGGAAATTAGTAATTCGAGAGGTTCTCCCGCAAGAGTCCTCATCGTCCTGCGGCAAGACCGGTAGAAGTTATTCCAATCCCTATTCTAACCAGCAGTGCATGCCACATTGAGGTTTGTTGCATTTCTGGCCAGAAGGCGTAGTGGAAGCAAGCACAGAAACGTAGGATTACGGGTTTAGGTTTAAAGGTTTGGGGCTCAGGGCTTAGGGTCTATAACAGAGCCCCCTGTATAACCTAACCCCTACACCTTTAATAAAGGGAGCTATACAGTCCTCTATGTAACCCACCCTTTAAAGAGCTTAGACTATAGCTCATTAGGGTTTCGGCCAGCCTAACTGGAGGTTTGAGACATTGTAGCAGACTTTGCTCCTGCAGAGCCCAGGCAGAATTTGCAGAATTCGCCAATGCCCGCTGCAGCAATTGGTCCGGGGATAGCTCTTCCATCTGGGTGGCGGGATGTTTCTTTTCAGTGAGGTTCCCCTTCGAGAGTCATGTAAAGACGTGCTTAGGAGTGGCTGGGAATATGTAAGAACTTGTGACCACGGACGTGTGACGACAACCCCGAATCCGTGTGCCCATTAAGCGACCTGAACCCTAAACCCAAAGCCCGAAACCATATTACCCTAAACCCTTGCACCCTATACAGTATACCCCAACCCAGGGCCTCTGCAGCCCCTTAACCCCAAACCCTAAACCCTAAACCATCACCTGCATATCTTGCCATGCCTAGTTGGCGGATTTGTTTTATCCTTACAGACTCTTTGCATCTAAACCAGGACGATACCTTACAAGTGTTAAAAGGATGAGTTCAGGTTCGAGAAGGGCCTCAAGCATAATTTATAACTCATCTGTGGTTAGTAGGTCATAATGGAATGTTATCCCCAAATAATCCCTGTCGAAAATATTTCCTTCTTCCCTACCAGGCACCAGTAAGCCAATATCTACAACAGGAATCTGACCTGGCGCTTTTGTTTTCTCCGCCGAACAGATTTCCGGACCGCCTGTATTGATCGCTTTGCTCCGCAGCTCTTCGCGAATGCCTGGGCCCACGAAGGGATTGTTGCCTTCCCTAGGTACAATTGAATGCCAAAAAGGCTGTAGATTAGTTTGGGGACAGCAGTTTCAACCCATTAAGTTGCGAACACATCCCAATTGCAGAGCATACCGTAGCAGCCGCAAAGAGCAACTAGGCAATGAGGCTACCTCTAGAGTCTCCACCATGGCAGTGATGTCAGGTTGCATGTTGTACGATAACGGTTCTGGCAGTACAAACATGAATGCCCATGACGTTGACAATCGTACAAGCACCGCATTGCTTTTCACCTCGTTGCTGCTTCTCCGAACCGAGCGCTTTTCCCTTTGCTCTTGCCGTTGGCCTTTGCAGCTGCTCGAGCACCCTTCTCTCACTGCTTTCCGGACGGACAACACCACATCTGTATATGGGCTGTCAAATAGGTCTTCAGGGCCCTTTCATAGCAAATTCCCACATGTCCACTTAAAACCTCAGCTGACGTAGTAGGTAGGTTTCACTGGGGGCTTCGAGCTCCTAATTCAAAGTCCCCTTGGCCTTCAAACAGTACAGGATCTAGGGTTATAGTCCCCCTTAAGCAGATAGAATAGGGTTTCGGGTATATGATAATAGGATCCCCATATACCCCAAATTCTATACCCTATATAACTCATAGTAGTCTCCATTTTCTCTTCCATTATCCCTATATAACCCCAATGATATACCCCATATTCTATCTATTTAAAGGGGGTAGAGTCCCCAACTTTGGTCAGCTATCACAACACCACGAATCCACATGTGAGGTCTCGTGCCTGCAGTCACCGGAAGACCCTTACCCAAAGACTCCATGTAGCTATATAGTATATACTTTGGGCCCAAAGGGGTTCCCATATAACTGCTCTAGGGCTCAAGTATATAGCATATAGCTGCATGGAGCATTTGGGTTAACGCTAGATCAGTTGTCATCATTGTAAGCATCGAGGTTGCCAAGATCTTCTACCCAGCGGGCCCAAGTATCTGATGTTTGGTCATCTGGGATACCCTAAGCCTTAGACTAAACCCTAAACCCGAAACCCTAAACTTCAAAACCTGAACCCTAAGTCCTAAACCCTGAACCATGATGCTTGGGTACTCAGAGGTCCCAGGAGTCACCAGTACCTCGACACAGACATCGAGGAAGCGAAGAGTAGCCATGCTCCATTTCGTTTTTTACATGCTGGAGTAGGGCGGATGCTGACTGACCACGTACTGGGTTGCTTTTACGGAACTTAAATTAAGTTACTATACTAAGTAGGAAGCCCTATGCTGTGCTAATGTGCCCATAATATGGTAACTTGAATTCAGTTCCTTAACAGCAGTCCAGTCTAAGCCGTTCCATAATCCAGGTGGAGATGTTTGACAGTGGGAGTCAGATTTTAGCTGAGCTTTGCCACAGTGTTTAGGGTTCAGGTGCACAAAGGGACAGGCACTTAAAGGATGCTCAATCATGAAGGCACTTAAAGGATGCTCAATCATGAACGTCACCCCAAAAAGCAGCTAGATCTGACTACCACAACCGCCATAATTATGGTTATACCTATCAATATTACTATTATCTTTATTGTCACAACTATGATTTATGATTTCTATTACGATAATTATTATTGCCAATATCTTTTTTTCTGTTATTAGCATGATTACTAACATTTTTATTTGTTTCGAAGTATGGGCCTATAGTATGGGCCCCAGCCCGTTCAAGAGAACTTGGGGGCGCGCACGTTTGGAGTCCAAACTTGGGACCTTCGACTCAAGCCAGGGCCTTCATTTCAAATGTAGGACGCGGTCAGAAGGCAACGTCTAGACACCGGCGCTGGTGCCACGTTGGGACGTTGAGAGAGTCAGGGTGTAGGGTTCAGACTTGGGATGTAGGGTTTAGGGTTTAGTAAGTTACGGTTTAGGGTTTGGGGAGGAATGGCGGTGGCTTGTCAAGCTGAACTTACTGGGGCTTAGGAGGGAATAAGGGAATAATCGATATAGGGATTATATAGGGATTATACATCGTCA